TGTTATTGTGACAGCTGGCTCCACTACAACAAGACACGCATTCTGCTCGAGATGTAAGTCGTAAGACATTGTCCACCTCCCTCCCCTAATAATTCTATTCTATTCTATTCTATCCTTTTCAAATTTTCAAATTTTCTTTTGTTGACCCAACTACCCACCAATGTACATGTAATAATAATAAGAATAATTCTACCAAGTTTCAAATTATTGCACTGCTTAAATTCAGCCAAAGATAAATTATTCATACCATAAAAATTTATGGTTGATTTTGCTTTTTCTTTTCCGGATATGATCTTAAAAAGGAAGCTTTGAAGATAAGCGGTTTCGATCATCAAACTACTTTTCTGGGATGAGAATCATATGAGAAATATTGCTAGCATTCCCTTTTTGAGGAATTTAACCACTGTTAATCTTTTTCAAATTCTTTAAAAGGAAGCTTTGAAGATAAGCGGTTTCGATCATCAAACCACTTTACTGGGATGAGAATCATACGAGAAATATAGCTACCATTCCCCTCTTGGGAAATTTAATATCAAATAAAATCAAACTTACCACAAACAACTAGAAATCAAACTTACCACAATAGATATTAATCTCTCGTGTATTTAAATCGAACTTAAAACAACTCCAATCAAATAGAAACAACCATCACTATATCAAATGTTGATATTCTTTGTATTATCTTTTATCTCTCTTTTATATAAGATATTAATTGCACGCATTATGTCATAGTTGATATCTTAATTATAATGTAAAATTATGCAAAGCATAACTGGCTTGAAAAGCCTATTAAATAAATAAATAAAAATTGATATGCTTAGAAAAAAATAATAATAATTGGCATGCCTATAGAAGATAATAATTGATGTGAAAACCATTACATTACATGATATTAGTAATTTAATTATTAAAATAAAAAGATTAATATGAAAATGGGTAGCTGGCATCTATTGGAATTGCCATGTAAAGCACCATAATACAGAGAGATGACATTGTTTATGATCATTGGTTGGTATTTTGATCTAAAATAGTGATGGTTTATCAGATTCCTCCAATAAAAAAATTATAAAGAAAAAGAAAGAAACCCAAAGTTAGGGACAGAATATTATAATTTATTACTTCACATCCCACTAAGACATGACTATAAATAAACCGGAAGCTTCTTAGTTTAAGCTCATAAAATTGTCCCAATACACACTCAACTCAACTCAACACAAACGCACAGACACAGCTTTCCTCTTCTTTTCATAAATAAACGTAAACGCGTTCAGACTTCCGTGTTCCCGCCGCCTGTTTCAGACCATTATCTCTCCCTCTCTCTCTCTCTCCCTCTGAATGGTCAATGAGCGAGAGTAAAGGAAGCTCATAAATACAGAAAACTCGCAAACAAGATCAAATTTTTTTGTCCTTCTTTCTTTTGAAGAAGAAGAAACAGAGCTTCTCTGGCTCTCAGCCTATCCTATCAATGGCCAAGTCAAAGAACAACAACACTAATAAGCTTTCTTACATTTCAGTCCCTTCTCAGATAATCAATTCTTTGTCTTCATCTTCTTTGCAATCGCTCCTTCTTTCACCTAAGAAATCTTCAAGGAGTAAAACCAGGTACTTGAGCTGGTTCACCAACTACAGGAGCCCAAAGTTCTGGGTTTTATTTCTGTTTCTCTTTGGCTTTCTTGGTATGCTGAAGTTGGGATTCAACCTTGACCCTTTGATCCCATATTCTCCATACCCATGTACCACAAGTCAGTTACAGAACTTGGTCTCTAATGGGTATTTAAAATCACATATGGCTATTGCTTCAAATGGTGAAAACAGTCACCAAGTTGAGGTTTTCAACAGTGTGAGCCATTCACAGCCGTTGATTTCAAATGTGAATTTGAAATCAGAGGTGGGTGTTGAAGAAGCTGAGCAAAGTGAGTTTTGGAAGCAACCGGATGGTTTGGGGTATCGGCCGTGCTTGGCCTTGAGCAATGAGTATAAGAAAGCTAGTGTAGGTATTGTGAAGGATAAGACAAAATATCTGATTGTTGTTGTTTCTGGTGGGATGAACCAGCAAAGGAATCAGATTGTTGATGCTGTGGTTATTGCTAGGATTCTTGGGGCTGCTTTGGTTGTTCCCATTTTGCAAGTTAATGTTATTTGGGGAGATGAAAGGTAAAGAATGCTACAACTCACATTTTCCTAACTGAAAGGATATCTTCATTTAATGAGTTTGTGCTTTGTTGTTGTTGTTGGTTTATGGTTGATTTCTGTTGTGCTATACTGCTTAGGAGACTCAGAGTATATTTCTGTGTCTTATTTTATGGGTGCAGTGAATTTTCTGATATCTTTGATTTGGAGCACTTCAAGAAAGTTCTTGCCAATGATGTTCGTATAGTTTCTTCACTGCCATCGACACATATAATGACAAGGCCGGTGGAGGAGAAACGGACTCCCCTTCATGCCTCACCTAATTGGATTCGGTCACGTTATCTCAAGCGGGTAAGAATCATTGCTGTCTTTGTGCTTGCTTTCAATTAAGCAACCGTGTTGTTTTTCAAAAGATTTATGTTGTTTTTCAAAACATTTGAATAAAGGAAATATGAAAGAGAGAAAAGATGCTTTGGCAGCTGTTAGTTTGTTATGTATGGAGCTTAAACTTGTTTGTGAGCCTTGTGACACAATCGATTTGGTTTTGTTTGGTTGTTTGTTTTTGCTCGTGCGTTCCTATACAAGTGTCAGCTTTCGACCTGCTGTTCTCATCTTTTAGTTTTTCCTATTGTTCCTACTATACTCTAACCATGCTGTGATCACACAATTGAAGAGCCGTCCAGTCCAATCCAATGCCTAAAATGTTGTACTTATTATCTAATTGAAGTAGTTGAATATGGGTGTTCTGGATAGATAAATCTCATGTGCTGCCTATCATTTTAACTAAATAAAACTAATGACGAGTGCAAGGTTTTCTGATCTTATGCTAAAAATTATAATAATTTTGAGTTTGTTGATTTCAGTAACATGATTTTTTATTAATGATTATCTGTCGTGTTGTGTGTGGTTAGAACAAATCTCCTGTGGAATGCAAATCAGCACTACAAATTATGCTAATTCCTATTTTTCTTTGCAGATTAAAAGAGAAGGGGTTTTGCTTCTAAGAGGCTTGGATTCAAGACTCTCTAAGGATCTTCCATCTGATCTTCAAAAACTTCGATGCAAGGTAATGTGCGAAATACGTCTTTAATTTCCTTTGTATATGCAAACTGACTTTGTTTCTTTTTGTTTTACCTGGTATGATGGAAAATAATTGACTACGTTTCTACTGTATTGACAGCCTTTAGATTTGTATCAGTCGTGAATAAATCCGTGACTTTGATTACAGAAATGAAAGGAGGTTCTAGTTCTAGAGACAGCTGACTCTAATCTCTTCTTTGTTTGACATCAGGTTGCCTTTCATGCATTGAGGTTTGCTCCTCCAATTTTGGGAATTGGTAACAAGCTTGCAGAGAGGATGAGCAGTAAGGGACCTTACCTTGCCCTTCATCTCAGAATGGAGAAGGATGTATGGGTGAGGACTGGTTGCCTTCCTGGTTTGAGCCCTGAATATGATGAGATAGTAAACAATGAGAGGATACAGCGGCCAGAGCTCCTAACTGGAAGATCAAACATGACGTACCATGAAAGAAAACTTGCAGGTCTCTGCCCCTTGAATGCCTTGGAGGTGACCAGGTAAGAATGTTAGCCAAATATGTATTTACTTTAAGGCATTTGAACATAAACCAATTTGATATCTATTATCCTATTTGTTCTATGTATCAGAGAGTTTTATAACAGGCAAAATTTTGTGTTTTAGGTTGCTTAAAGCTCTAGGAGCTCCAAAAAATGCAAGAATATATTGGGCTGGAGGGCATCCATTTGGTGGAAAAGAAGCCTTGCTGCCATTAACAGGAGAATTTCCCCATTTTTACAATAAGGAAGATCTTGCTTTGCCTGGTGAACTAGAACCTTTTTCAAATAGAGCTTCTGTCATGGCGGCCATTGATTATATAGTTTCCGAGAATAGTGATGTCTTCATGCCGTCTCATGGGGGAAATATGGGCCATGCTATCCAGGTATAGTTTATTTGTTTCGGTCTTAACAAATAGGTAATATATGCTAGATAAAATACTTCACAAGTACAAGAAAGCACGACAATATGACCAAAGTAAATCAAGTTGAAAGAAAGTGAAAAAGAATGAAATACTTAAGGATACTTGCGGAACTGATCTGACATTGTTAAATGATATCATGAGTTGAAGGGGGCAAACGTACACATTTGGACTGAGTACCTTTGTATTTTCTAGGAAATATTTGAGAAACATATAATACAGATACTATGAAAAACGTTTTTGTGCATGCGTAAAATTCTTGAGAGGTAAATCAGCCTGGAATAAGAAAAAAGAGATGTGCCATTTGGGCCTTGTCATGAATTACTAGTATTGTCACTTCTATCTTTTCCATTTGGAAGAACTTACAAATATAGGATGTATACAGCTAATAGAAAAAAGAAAATTGTGTTAAGGAAATATGCTGGGAAGACAAATAATATGAAAATGTCATATGAGTAGTTCTTTACACATGATGGTTACCTAATTTGCTGGGGACTTCTCTTACACCAAGATTTGTATTTTCTTTCAGGGCCACCGTGCCTATGCTGGCCACAAAAAGTATATAACTCCAGACAAAAGGCATATGCTTCCATATTTTCTGAACTCTTCTCTCCCGGAAGCAGAGTTCAATAGGATCATAAAGGAATTGCACAAAGATTCATTAGGGCAGCCAGACCTCAGGACTAGCAGAGCTGGAAAAGATGTCACAAAGTATCCTGTTCCTGAGTGTATGTGCAATGATTCTCGTACTCATTCGTATCTTTGAGTTAGCTCTGCAATGGCCTGCTTCATTGACAAATTGAAACTTCTCAGAAAATCCCTTGAATTTGAGCCCGCTGGAAAGGGTTTCTTCTGCAGGGCAATGATGGTTCTTTGGATGGCCAGTTTTTAAGAGCAACAGCATCACACTCAATTTCTGAGTTTGCTCACATTTTTTCTTTCACACTCCTTCCTTTGTGGGAACATTCAAGTGAGGAAGGCAAATGGATTCTTCTAAGTCGATAGAGTATATGGTTCTGTGGAAAGAAAAACTCTGTGAAGCTTCCCTGTCCCCTGGATTTGCTTTGGGACTTTCATAAGCAGCTGGCAGAAAGCGAAGAAGGTCCCCTAATTCTTTAATTCTTTATAGGAAATATTCTTTTAGGATAGATTTTCCCCATTTTGGTTTCGTTCATTTATTGTGCTACATCGGTGTATTATAATTTATAGAACAAGCATGTAAATAAGCATATTTCCAGTAATAATACATATATATTTTTTGCAAGCTCCCATCATGTTGGAGTTAAACACATGTTCTGGTTCTTCATGCAGCAATTGCAGCAGGTTCAATTTTCTTGTAATGCTCTCTGTACATTGATGCAAAATTCACTATATTTATTTACCTTAATTGATAAATCAAAGAAGCAATTTTTCACCCACTTTCCTGATTTTGACCTGATTTGGGAATTAAACTGTCACATGTAGACCTTTAACAGTTCTCTTTCTCACATGTAAGCTGCTAGCGGAGGGATCCCCTTACATGAATTCCAAATGTATTCACACTTTATTATCACTTCAGGGGAGTTCTGGAGGAGGCAGTCAGAGAAGTTCCATCCCTAGAGCTTGGTGAGAGTTCAAGGTAAGCAGAAATATTTATTTGAGACAAAATCATATAAATTGCGATAGACACATTATGAATGCACGTAACGTCTCAGATCCACGCTTACTATTAACGATAGTATCAACTGTACATGAGAACTAAACTGAATCGAACCAACTTATAGGCTGACTATCAAATAGTTGTCAAAAGTGTTCTAGATAGGAGGGTCATGGGTGTACTCGGGGCAAAGGTATTGGAGTGTGAGAAGGCGGATATTTGAAATCCAATGCTACATATAGAAATTTATACATTTCTCCACTGAATCATGTAACTCGTTATTTCTATTGGATTTCCACAGGCTGAATCATGTAACTCAGTATCTATTTACTTTTGCATTTTCAAATCTCTTTTCCATACAGAGACTTTATTTGATTAATTGCTCCGAAGGTCCAGTTCTTCTTTGTATTATAATTATCTATCCTTGTTTATCTTACTAAATGCAATTTCCAATTTTATTTTATTCACTTTCATCTGGTCTCTAGTCCCATTAACATTTTACTTCTTCCACTCAACAAATTATCTGATGGCTTCAAGTTGAGTGGAACAAGAGTGGGATGGAACGAAAATAGTTTTGAACAGAACTTTTAGGCAGCCCATGTTATTCATTCATTTATTAAGAGCCAATTACTCGTACAGTTTTTAGAGCATCATCATCAAATTTAGATGGAGATGCTGTTAGGAACTCCCATTCCGGTGACCCCAGGTGTTGAGAATGGCTTCAAAAGCTCATATGGAACAACACCTGCTCCAACTCTGTTTTTCAGTTTCAAGTTGGTATTCCTCTCATCAATAATTCCTTCCAGCCTCTTCAAATTTCCATTGAACCGC